CATCAACATCCATAAATTGTGCAAGAAAATCAAGTTTTGGGTTTCACCTTTACAAGACCATATTCTCATGTTTGCTAAAAGATGATGCTTTAATGAGCCAACACAACTCCTAGCTCGAAAAGAACTTCCAAACTCTGATTCTTCTCAAATTGTTTTAACCCTCATCTATGGTTAACTTCATCTTTGTACAAAGACTATGTATATCTTCTTATATTACATAACAAAATGTCTTTTAAAAAAAAAAATTTACTAGATAACATCGCAAATTAAATATATTATAATTTTGTAAATATTAAATAAATCAAAACAATGTTATTTTATGGTTAAAATTGTATTATATAAAATCTAATGTTTTTATGAACGAGATATATATCAATTAGTCGATCATATTTTGATACGTGTCAATTTTTTTTTACAATGAGATTTTGACATGTGTCAAAATAGTTTTATCTACTTAAAATACATAAAATTATTATACTTTTGAGTATGAATTTTTTTTAGTTTTCTTAATTCAAATTTTCTTTCGCGAAATCGATGTTTGAGAAGAATTTTATTGTCAAAAAAATTTTTATGTTGTGAAAGTTATAGAAAAATAAGAATTTGTTTAAGTGATATTTCATCTGTGGATCCAACCCCTGGGAAGGCAATTTACTACACAAATAATAGACATGTCATAGTTCGGAAAACACGACGGTATGATATATTATTTTATGACAGCGCTCCAACACTCAAAGAAGGAGAAATATGACGCGGGGAAAGTCGAGCTGAAGTTAGAAAACGAAAGCGAAGAAAGTGTTATGACACCGAATCAAAATATGTCCATGGTGTATGGGGAGACTTACAAAGCACTTTGAAATGAGAGTTATCGCATTGTGGACCACCCACAAATAATAATTTTTGTTGATCATGTTATTGGATTCTGAAGGAACACAAATATTTGGGAACAAAAGAAAAACATAAAATTACAAGAGAAGTTTCGAGCAATAAACAGTGGGAGAGCAAAAGACCTGGTGTCGCAGAGAATGGTGTTTGTGGGGCTGTTGATAGAGTGCAGTCGCTAAACTTTGATTTTAGTCGAGATCTTATTATATAAAGTTTGATACGTCAGATTTTGACCCACATTAAAAAAATTCAATTAGATTGTGCCACATATATCATACAAATCTTATTTCTTTTTTAAACTTATATATTTATATTTATCAAGTAGTATATAAAAATCAACATATATCAAGATTTTCAATTACCTCTAATTAATAATTCATTAAAATAATTAGTTGATAAGCACTGTTTATTCCTTTAAT